GGGAGCTGCCGCTGACGGCCCCGGTTCTCCCTGTGCAGGCCCGGGCTTCTGGTACTACCCCAGCCGGCTGGAGGAGTCCAGTGGGGAGGATGATGAGGGTGAAGAGGAAGAGGAGCAGATAGACTTCAGCCAGCACTGGGACGTTTCCAGCGAGGACAGCGACCCCCCCTACAACTTCTGCGGGTTCAAGAGCTCCTTCTTGTACGAGGGAGCTCTGCCCACTCACCCCCCGCCAAGCGCTCTCCAGGTGAAGATGCACAGGCTGCCCGCGCCCTGGAGGCACCAGCTTACAGCGGAGGTGAGGGCCCCCTCCCTGCCTGCGGGCTGCCTGTTTGCTGCCTGTTTCTGCTCCCCACAGTGCCCCTACCTCGGCCCTGTCGCATCCTCCAGTCCCTCTTCTCCCATCTCCTTGCGGGGGGTGGCTGGGGGCTGACAGCGTTGCCCACACCCGGGGCTGTCCCGCTCTCCTGGCCACGGCACGGTGCCAGGCACTGGTGCTCACAGTGTTGCTCCCCCAGGAAGCAGAGAGGAATGCGCGGGAGCTGGTGGCGGAGGAGGAACGGATGAAGAGGAAAGCAGAGAAAAAGAAGCTGAAGAAGAAGGTGGGTGCACCCTGTGGAGGGTCTGCCCTGACAGCCCACAGCATGCAGGCAGCTGCCCGCATTTCCCATCCTCCTGAGCCTTGCTGTTGCCCTGGGAGGGAAGCGCATCCTGGGGGCAGCCCGGGACTCGCTTCCACCCCCACAGCAGCACTGAGGCAGAGCTGTGGCATGGGACCGGGGGTGGGTCTGTGCTGCTCTGCCTGGCACCTGCTCATGGCTCACTCTCTGGTTTCCAGAAGCAGAAAGACCGGAAGAAACGAGAGAAATTGGGACAAGAGCTGAAAAGCAAGAAGGAAGCTGAGTTGGTGAGTGACTGCGCTGACGCCTCACCCCAGACCCTGCCTGGCTGTGGGTGCCACGGCAGCCTTCAGGGGTCCTGTATGTCTCTGAAGGTGGGACGCTGTGGGGAGAGGGGTAGGCAGGCAGAGCCCCGCTGTCCCCAGCTGCTGTCTCACTCCTGCTCTCTCCTTCCAGAGCACCTCATCCCTGAGCAGCCCTGCAGGTGCTGAGCACCCGCAAAACAGCAATGCTGAGGAGCAGGAGGGCTGGCCGGGCCCCAGCCGTTCCCCATGCCTCGAGGGCAGCACAGCCTCCTCGGGAGAGGAGAGAGGAGGCCAGGAGGCCAAGGCCGAGGAGATGGAGGTGGGAGCTTCTGGCGTGGGTGCCAGCCTAGTGCAGGGTCTGCCCTGTGGATGGGCCTGGGGCTCTGCCCGCCTCGCCCACCCTGCCTCTCCCAGGATGAGCTGGACTTGAGCTGCACCTTCGTCTTCAAAGCCCGGCAGAAAGCAGGCATGAGGCTGCCGGCACCTGGGAAGGAGAAGCCGGCCAGGATGGATAATGTGGAGCCGGGCAGGAGAGTGCCGGGGAAGGTGAGTTGGAGCCCACAGGGCCCTGGGGAGGGACCTGCCTGCCTCATGGGCACCTGAGCCCTCGCTGCCCTGCCTGCCCACCCCACAGGAACCCAAGGCCTCGCTGCCCTGCCTGCCCACCCCACAGGCACCCGAGCCCGAGACTGTGCCCTTGGACACAAGCGTGGTGGAGCAGAGCCTGATTATCGCGGGTCAGTGCCTTAGACCCCCCCAGGTTGCGAGGGAAGGGGGTGGGCACATGGGGTCTCTTCCCTGCTGCTTCTCAGCTCTGTGGGTAGGACTGCCCCAGCGAGGTTTGTGCCAGGACTCCCCTCCGGCACGGCTCTTTACAGGCCAACGTGGCTCTGGCCTGTCCCCAAGGCACCTTTCCCCTGCGGGTGGGTGACGGCAGAGCCACCATCTCCTCTGCCGTCCTGCTCCCCTCTGCTCATCCCCAGCAAATGCCCGTGTCCCCGCTGCGGGCGGGGGCACAGCTCTGCTCCCCGGCCGGGCCGGTGGGTCGGCAGCAGCCGATGCTCTCCCCGCAGGCCGTGGCAACGAGGCTGCCCAGAAGGGCTGCTACGCTGAGGCCGTGCAGGCCTTCACGGAAGCCGTGAAGCTGAACCCCAGGGAGCACCGGTGAGCGAGGGGGGCCAGGGAGCAGCATTCCCCGGGGACTCCAGGTCCTGGGCAGCAGCGATCCTGGTCTCCCCGCAGGCTCTTTGGGAACCGTTCGTACTGCTATGAGAAGCTTCAGCGTTACGAGGAGGCGCTCAGGGATGCACAGGTGTCGCTGGGGCTCCAGCCCGGCTGGCCCAAAGGCTTATTCCGCAAGGGCAAGGCGCTGCGGGGGCTGAAGGTACCGGGACTGGGCAGGGGCCATGGGGTGCCGGTGGGGCTGAACGGGAGACCGTTGGGTGCCAGTGGGGCTGGGTGGGAGGCTGCAAGGTGCCAGTAGAGCTGGGCGGGGGGCCAGAGTGAGCAGCAGAAGCTCAGCCCCTCTCTGCTGGCCCCAGCGCTACGCAGAGGCCGTCAGGACGTTCGAGGAGCTGCTGCGCCTGGACGGCGCCAACGCCGATGCGGCCGCCCAGCTGGAGGCCTGCCGGGCCCTGCTGCGGGTGAGTCCCGGCTCTGGCATCCCCGGCATCCCCAGCTGCCGCACCGCAGGGCCTGAACCTTGTCTCACCCCACAGCAGAACAGCTCCTGTGGCCAGCGCAGCCCAGGGGGGATCCCCCTGTCCCCGTCCCTGCTGGAGGCTGGGGAGCCATCACTGCCTCCTTCCGGTAAGGGACCTTGGCTCTGACAGTGGTTTTGCTTTGGAGCTGTTGGCAGAGCTGACAGCCACAGGGTGTGGGGGGACCTCGGTGGTGGTCTCAGGACTGGAGAAGGTCTTGGGGGGCTGCTGGGGCCATGCCGGTCTGCAGAGACAGCTGGGCCCATCCCTGCTTCTCAGCAGGGGAGTGGGCGAGTGGGAGCTGCTGGGACACGGACACAGGTGGCTTCGTGACCGTCGGGAGCTCCAGGAGCCAGGCGAGAGGCCAGAGCCGGGCCATGGCCAGCAGCCAGCAGACACTGCCTCTGACCCATCCTGCCAGGTAGGGCCGTGGCTGGTGGGCCTGGGGTGGCCCCGTGCCCCTCTGGGACGGTGACTGGTGCTTGCTGGGGGTGGTGGGCAGGAGCAGGTGCATCCCAGAGCTCCCATGGAGCTGGTGGTGCTGGGGCGGGGTCCTCAAACTGGTATGTGGGACAGAGCTGGCTGCTGGTGACACTGGTGTGGTTTGGCAGGGACTGCTATCCCCTCTGGGTGGGGAACATCACTGCCAAGATCAGTGAGAAGGTGCTGCACAGCTCCTTCAGCCGGTGAGTGTGTCTGCCTGCTGAGCCCCCACAGCCCCCCAGTGCCCTACCAGCCCCCCACCCATCCTGCCT